TATCTTATTTACATAAAAAACTCATTTTTTTCACATTAATGCAAGAAACTATTCGTATGTCGTTCCAATTTAGAAAAGATCACAGGATCATTAATTTTCCAATGGTACATTTACGTGTATCAATATTAAATTCAGCCTTCTGTAACGCCACGTAACTTTAAAGTCACGCATTCATCTGTCTTTTTACGTCTTGTTTTATATTTGTCACAACCTTAGCGTCTTACGCCACGTTACAAGTCATTTCTTTGTAAAAAAAAAGTTTTAGTGGTAAATTAATTATTAGTTTCATCCGGAAGTTATACGTTTACTGGTTTCACGTTATACAATTTTGTTTTTAGACACGAGAAAGAAATGGAGTTATAGAGGGTTCTAAATTCTTTGACACTCGCCGTTAGTATTACAAATCTTCTTAAAAATGTTGGTTTTAACAGCGCTGCTATAATTAAAAATTTCTGGAATATTCTCTATGTGAATTACGTAGATCTGACACCGATAGATACGCGAGTGTAGTTAGGAAATTAATGGAGCATTGCCGGTAGTATCTACGCGGATGCGCAGCATCCGCAGTTCCGGCCGCAACGCAAGTGCCTGTATCACCTGTTACGCCTGTCATTCGCTCTTCCGCGCTTCTCCGACATCCCGGGCGTTATTAGGCCCTTCATAGCATTCAGTATTTCGCTATGTGCTAACGTCTGTAACCGAGAGCGCGAGAGCGCCATCGATTACCGATGGCTGGCGTTGCGCGAAGAGACGACGGATCAATGGGAAATTCAACGCGCGAGATGCCGGCGAGCCAATCTCGAATGCGCCGTGCGGCGACGAGAAAAGTACCGCCGGATACGGCGAATTGAGTGAAATCGCATTTACGGTCTCGAACGTGATCGCCCGAGCAATTTGTCATACACACACACACACACACACACACACGCCGCAGAAGTCTTTCGGCTCGAAATGTCTATAAATCCCTATTATTGTCCGGCCTTACGGTGCGCGAGATTTTTCATCCGATTATGCACTTAATCGAGCCGGGTCGAGAAGCCCGTGCGGGCACGAGGATCGTCGGGCGTAACAAAAGGAATCCGTCGATACCATTACTCTTAGTTTCCGTATCCGGATACCAATTTCCCAATCCCATGATCGCGCGCGGCTATCGGAACGCGGTAAATCGAAGCCCGTGGTCATCATTAAGGGCACTTGGCCCATGGTATGAAGCTGATGGCAGAGAACGATCCGTAAACGCTTAAGACTATCTGTGCACAATAGACTTTCGCGGCTTAAGTTTTTCTCTGCCTTGCCTCACGTCTACGACTAAGGCCCGGTCTACAATGAGTTGTTAGTCGTTAGTCAGAAGTCGGAACTATATGTTGATCCTTTTCCTTTCTGGATGGATAACAACTCATTGCAGACCAGGCCGAACTCTACCATCAGCTTGACCAGTAGGTTTGCTCCGTCATTTGTTTCGTTTTGAGTCGATCCATTCTGCGCATCCAACGTTTTGTTGAACCAGCCAATGAGAGAGAAGTTGTGTACGGAGACTTTGATATATTACCACACGTACAACTACAGTACATACACACCACAGACTTGTATATACTACTAGATTGCTATCTAACAAGACATGGCGGAACTCTTGCCTCACTTTTCAGCTCGAAGGTAGCAGTCTAGTAGTATACAGGGTGTTACAGATAAGGTGTTCCTCCGCTCATATACAGATAGGGCGGGTTAAGCTGAAGAAGAAAGTTTCGTACCATTTTGTAAAATTCGCAATAGTTTTCGAGTGATAAATAAAAACGTCTGGGCGAATGAACGAACGAGTAGCAGTAGGCCGGACTCGGCAAGCAAGTTAAAAGCCTTATTTACTTGGTCTCGTAGCAACGGTGGGCGTCCGATAGCGGGAGGTGGAGCGACGCACCGGAAAAAAACGTTGTTACGCAGCGAGCGGCGAGCTTCAGATGATGCTCACTGCTCGTTCCTCACCGCTATGAGACTAAAATAAGCCGTTCAATGTCTGCCCAGTCCGACCTACCGTTTTCCTTGCGCTCATTCGCTGAGACATTTTAATTAATTACTCGATAACTATTGGGAATTTTGCAAAATGGTACATAACTTTTCTTTTTAGTTTAATCCGCTCTACATGTACACGAGCGGATGAATACCTTATCCGTAACACCCCGTAGAAGTCTGCGGTGCACACACACACGCATGTGTGTGTACTCATAAAACTATACTACCACACATACAACTTTTCTCTCGTTGGCTGCACCAACAAAATGTCGGATGCGCAGAAGGGATCGACGCAAAACGAAACAAATGACGGAGTGAACCTACTAGTTATACTATGGTTATATATAATACCATGCTTGGCCGGGTGGAGAACGCGCGCGCCTCGCTCGGCGGCTTCTCCGCTCCGCGATGGAGAAAAATCGACGGCCTGGCCATCGAGGCGTCGTTCACGCCCCGTCCATCTCGCGCGGCGAACCCTTCGAGGGTCCGTCGAATTCACCTTGCCAAGGGGGACCTTTGTCAAGGGACGGGCAAGAAATCGATCGTCATCTTCATTCTACACGCCAGCGCGACGATATTGAAATAATTTCGGCCGCCACCCGTGGGTGGTGAGTTCTCTAAATATTTGGCCGAGTATATTTATCGGCGCGCACGCGAAAATACGTGTGCGTGCGCGTCGCACACGCGGGACTTGCGTACGCGGATTTTCGGGGGCCGCGGGGAAAGAGACACGCAGCGCGAGCGGATCGGCCCGCTGAATCTGCGTCGCTAAAAATACGCGTCGCAATAAACTCAAGGGTGACGTCCACCACGCGGGGCGACGACGTTTTTAGCTGTCCCGCTTCTTCTTCTTCTTCTTCTTCTTCTACGTATACTTCCTCTTCTTTCACAACTTTTGTTTCCCCTCTATAATTATCGTTCTCTAGATTATCGTTTCGCGGTGTTTACGTTACTACTCGCCGTCGTAAACTCGAGATAATTTCATCAACGACGCCCATACTCTCGGAGCGTAAAAATAAGCACGAGAGGAATAAAAGTTTTCGATAACGTTATATTTGCTTGCTCGTAAGTTACTTCAGTAGTTTTTTCCCGACTTTATTTCTCCCCCGTCCGAGATCCTTGGGACGTTTAATCGGAGCGATAATAATTTGGACCTAGGCCTGGTTTTATCTAACGTCGATTAACTTTAATCTTAGTTTAATTCATGTTTATCTCTTCCAAAAGTAACAACTGAAAAGAGATAAAGAACGAATTAACTAAGTTTAAGGTTAAACAACGTTAGTGAAACCGAACCTTATTGTTAGTCGTATTCGTTGAGTCGACGTTTGTCTTCCCGGCAGATTTATTCTAATAAGACGCAACACCCACCCTGCACAACGTAACATTAGAGGAAAGTCCCCTAATACGAGATAGCGGAGTTTCTGCTCAATTAATAGGCATCATCTGTTGCTTCCACCATGAATTTATTGCCCTTGGAGTGAAATCTGTTTAGTGGAAAATTGATCGTCAGACCGTGTAATCGTTGCGTGAAAAGATTTGTGATTGAATTTGAACGTTAAAAACCTAATGTCTCATATTAGAGTCCAATTTCATAATAGAGGACTTTCCTCTACGACTCTACGTCGAAGATAATTGCTAGTAGCATTGCGTCCTCGGGTTCAAAGTCCTTGAGTATCAAGGCCAAGAACATTATTCCAGTTATCCGCAATATAAAGTTTAATCATCTCATTAGAAAACATTTCCAAGTACTCTCGATATTTTCCAACTTGGAGTTGTTTTACAATTATAATTTTAATATCCGTATCGAATTTCATCGGCCTCGGTAACAAGCATCATTAATCGTAACAGAAAATGCTTTCGAAGCGAGATGTAAAGAAATACTTCACAGAAGAATCGATCGTAGACGAATCCACTCTCTAAAAGTCAATCAGTGGATTATTACTGAAGACAGTGAATATTCACTGCTTCACGGTTACAAAGGAAAATCCCCTATTATGAGACAAGTTCCTAATATGAGATAGCAGAATTTCTGTTAAATTAACAAACACTATCTATTGATTCCACCATGAAGTTAGTTATTGCTCTTGAAGTGAAATCCGTTTAGTGGAAAATTCGTTGTTAGATCGTGTAATCGGTGCGAAAAAAGATTTGTAATTGAATTTGGACGTTAAAAACCTATCTCGCATTATAAGTCTGTCTCGTAATAGGGGACTTCCTCTGAATAATTCATTGCTATACTTATAACTGTCTTCAGTAATAACGCACGGATTGACTTTTAGAGAGTACGGACAGTCGAGTACTTTTAGATCTCCGATAAGATCGTAGATAAGGCCGAACAATTCGCCGGCAAATTATGCGCGGCATTCTGTAAACGTCTCGTGCACGGGAAGCACTTATGCGGCATTCTTGCAAGAATATTCGCACGCTGCTGACGTTCATGGAAGACGATGTGCCCCCTTCCCCCCCCCCCCCCCTTCAAGCTTGCGGCGTCTCGCGGTTGGCGATTAAACGCGAAAGTGCGCGCAAGAGGGAGAGTGTTCTATCCTGCGGAGATGGGAAACCCGTGAAAACCGCGCGGTCGATCCACTTTAATCACCCTTTACGACGCGATATAAATAGCTTTCTAGTTATTTATCACCTACTCTCCATAAAAATCTCTCCCTACGGCGAGGATGCGACGAAAGTTTCCGCGCGAGATCAGTTCGTTGTTTTGAGAAACAATTATTCCTCGACACCAGGCGCTTACTCGGGGCGTTCGATTCTACGGGGACGCGGTGATGGATAACGCGACCCTCGAAGGCGCGATATGCATCATCGATAATACGACGGGTTGTGGATCGGTCATTTTATAAGTGTCAGACTTACAATTCCCTCGCGGAAAAATTCATCCCTTAGCTAAGCCCCTCGGTCAAATAGACATGGAGCAATCGATGGCGAGGATTTGACGATGAGAGACAATGCTCTGAGTTTCACGAGGCCGTTAAAATTTGCTCGCCATGGACATTGACAATCGGAACGATCGTAATCGTCGGCTGAGCGGCGCGTCGTGCGAAAGGATAATTCTCTACGTGGACGATTTCGCGGCGGCAACCGGCCAGGACCTGTCGTTGGGATTCTACAAGTGTGACAAGGATATTTACGCGTTGATGCCCGGCGAACCGGATGGCGCGCGAATGAGTCGTCGCTCTAGTCTGTATCCACCCGCTCTCGACAGTCTGGGCCTGCAGCTGGACGATCGTTCAGGCCTTTATCTCCTCGACGCCGGCGATAGATCACCCTCCCCTAATCTGTGCTCTCAGACGAGCACCCCGAGACGCTCGAGATGCAATTTAGACGTCGATCAGCGTTCGAGCAGACGCTCCAGCATGCAGTCGAGTCGCTCGAGGACGAACAGCTGCGGCAGACCGACTCCTCTAGGTAGGGGATAATTAAAAGACGTCCGAGGGAAAATTCCTTGCCTACTTAATAAGAAGAAATAATGAACTATGTATCTAATTAATTTGAGGAAACTCGGATATTACCGTTGTAGAGCTTACATAGAGAAAAAGAATGTTCTTCTTTTGAAAATACGTTTAGTTTCAACGCGAAAATCTTGAAAAGAGATTGTATTGCGTTAAAGGAAGAAAACTTGAGTGAAGCAATTTTGTATAATTCAATCGAGAAAAATATATGCTTATTATTGAAGAATAATTTTCTTTAATGGAAAGAAAACCATATTGGATAGAAAATAACGCATTTTCAAATCGAAGCTTGTAATTATTACAATGATTGTATTGTCAAAATAACTATGCGTACTCTTGAAGAATATTCTTGTACTATTGTATTTGGAGATTATTAAATGCTTCCAAGAAGATTATAGATTGTTGCGTATACACAAAAGAAATAAACGCGTTAGTTTGAGTATGTAAAAGTTGATCTGACACTTATTTGTTTCTGTGTATATCTCACAGTTGACGTTTCACGTCTCCTTTCGGACATCGATATATAATCGGATAAAGCACTTGACTCTCTCAACCTGGCGTGACGCCGTAGCTCGAATACATTATAGATATATGACTCACATCGCGTTTTGTTCCGAAGCGTCCACAAAAGGGATTATCGCTTCTATCGATCAACTTCTGTGGGCGTACGGAAAACGCTTTAACATTGATACGTGACGACGACGTGAAACTTCAGGGGATGATAGAAGAGCCAGCGTTAGCAGGAAAAGCAGGCCACGAAGGGCAAGCACCGCGACTCTCCCTCGGAAGGATTCCGTCCGTCCAATGAAGACGGACGTTAGGCAGACGCCGAAGACACTGGAGGACGCTCAGCAACTCGAGCAAGCGAGGCGTCATCGGCGGATCGCCATGATCGTCCTCGGCACCTTCATCTTCCTTCTGGCGGCCTCGGTGCTGGTGGTGGTGATCACCTTGACGCAAAGCAGCCACCTGAGTCCCGCATCCATCCTGAGAGAGCAGACCGAGCGCAATCGTAAATGATGAAATTTGCAAGTCTGGACACTAACTCCAAATGATCGAGCCTTTTCGCTAGAATAGCGCGATCATTGAAACTCAAGCGCCATCCAAAGTCACTAACTGCGACCCTCCTCCGTCGTTTTCAGCCAAATGGCGTTTCTTCCCGGTGAATTTACTTTGCTCGTGGATTTAACTTCTGTAATGTAGTTTCGCAGCAACGCTCGATAAGGCTAATTTAAGTTTTGCGCCACTTCTGATTCACGAGCGATTAAGCGATCTAATTCGCCATCGAAGTCGAGGGAGATCTACCCCGACGCGGGAAGAGGGCGACATAAATCGTATAGATCGTCGCTCGCTCGCGTTGACGCTAGTGTTACGTCATATATCTCCGAGGAGATAAGTTTATCACTTGATTTACCGGCATTCTTATCGTTTCAGTGCGGAAGGAGAACGAGGAGCTGTACAACTCCCTGAACCGAGACATTTCCGTGCCCGAGAATGTCACGGCGCCTCCCTAAGACGGGGTGAATTCTTCCGGACGGAAATGCACCGTTCGTCCGTCGATCTCGTTTCGCTCCAGCCACGTCGGACGCGAGGTCCTCGCCCCGCGCGGACACTTTTCACGACGACGGGCAACGCCGCTCGAGTCGGGAATCAGCGTCGCCCATGCGTTTCGTTTTACGGAGACGCCCGGGTGATTCAGGGGAGAAATTCCGAGACGATGGTGAGAGGAAAAGATCGACAGGTCTCGGATCAGCGGCACGCTGACTTAGATGTAATTTTAACGCATTTTAACGCGATGCTCCAGAGACGCGTCCCTGCATACGTGTACGTCGCGGGTGACGCTGCGACGAGCTCGCGAGAAGTCGCGATCGACGATTGTATTGTCGGCGCGACTTCGAAATCGTCGCGTTGGTATACATGTACACTCGCATCGATGCAGACTAGGTGCCCTCAATTCCGGCGAACTTTGCCTCAGTAGAAGGGCTCGCTCCGATCAGAGACGCAGAATACAATCTGAATTATTCGCGAAGCTCAGTCAAGTTGACCGTTGAAGCTCAACACTTGAACTTGATAGCGAAATTTTTATTGGGTTGAACAAACGCAAATTTCACAACGAGTTCGACGATTCTAACGCGGTAATTAATCATCGTTTATCTCGCTCGCCAGTTGTCACAATGCGAAGCGATTAAGAGCGCCTGGTCCGCGTGGAGGCGAGCTGCAATTTTTCAGAAGCGCGATTACGATCTTCGACGAGAGTTCGCGCAGTTTTGTTGCGAGGTTTATTCCGACGATACGTCGCACACCGAATGTCAACAACGAAGGAACGAGTTAAGCTGGAAACACGTGAAGAAACTTGAGCAGTAAAACTTGAGAATTTCAACCAATCGGTATTTTCAGCATTGCTTAAGTTTCAAAATGGCTGTTTACGTTCTCGACAAGTCATTTCCCTGAAGACCGATGGCAGAGAACGATCAGTAAATCGCTTTAACACTGTCTTAGTCGTAAGGCAAGGCAGAGAAGTCGTGAAAGGCTATTGAAATTAGCCAATCACGTCGAGTATTCTTTTCGACCTTAAGGCCCTTGGTCCAAGTTCTAGTTTCGAGAATTGTGTAGCCAATCAACTTGCAGCTTTTATAGAATAGCTGCAAGTTGATTGACTATACATTTCTTGGGACTAGAACTTGAACACAGTTCTTGGATGGTGGACATAAAACTTAAGACGGTCTTGAGCGTTTATGAATCGTTCTCTATCATCAGCCCAGGTCTTAAATTTTACTGCTTAAGATTTTTCGTGTGTTCGGGTCTTTAGAAGCCACGCGAGAGGACGCGGTGCCCATAGACGTGTGGCGTCTGACCGTTCGTCAGCGAAGAATCGGCGGGTGCATGAGACCTCTCGTCTATTCGCTTTCTCGGACGTGAGAGGACGTACACTTGTAATCACTCATGCCTTCCCACATGAATTTAGCCACAGATAGAACACGTATACATTTTCCATGTATGTATATGCAAAATGTATAATTAATATGTTGATATGTGCACAAATTCATGTGGGAAGGCATCGGTGATTCCCAGTGTACGTGGACGGAATTAGGCACGCGCGAGGAATCGATCCGCGTGAGTGTCGTCGCGCGGATACGCGAGTCCTTCGCGGGCTTTTCCAAGCGGATCCAAGCGAGAAATCGTTCAGACACAACCGACATAAGTAGGGCGTAGATTCCTCGGTGCTTTTTTACATGTCTTCCAGGACGACAGAGGACACGAGCTCAACGAACGGGGGCTCTCGGGGCTCGCCGATTCCTCGCGCCGGCGACGGCCTTGGACGTTTTCGCGCGTGTAGAAAAGCTGTACATAAGAACGTTCGTTATTAACAATCGTTTGTAGTTACGCACACCGCGAGGATAGTCGAGATAAGGGCCAAATTTTGTTGTTGTCAATTGTAAGATAACTTGTCATAAGGGAAAAATAGCCCACCGAGATCACGCGAAACAGAGGCGAGGTGAAGAAACGGAGCGCTATTGGCGTACGGTTATTAAAACGTACCTGCGTGTACGCGCGCGTATGTATGTGCACGTATACCTGTACGTTATTCCACGAGTAAGGATACAATTGACGCCTCGCACGAAACACGAGTATTTTACATATTTTTATTTTCTCTCTGCTCCGCCGCAATTTCCCCATCGCGCTTTGTGACTTAATTGCTTAAAGTTTTATCGGATATTTTTCGCTATGGCGATGGCGATTCAGCAGAAACTTTTCCCGATACGTTTATTCCGCGATCCTATTCTCCACGAGCATGGAAAATATTTGCCGAGCATAATTCGATTCTGCAAATCTCGTTACTTCGCAGCTAAACGATATCCGTAATTTATATAAATACGCGAAATGTATATTCCGCGTCTTCATAAATTTACTCCAATTTTGGTACGGGAAACATCTATTACAGTCATATACGTTATCGTTGCTCGCAATGAAAACATTTTGAATTTTTATCGCTGAATTTTATCGTTCCGTTCGTGATTGAAATTATTTTAATTTGAAACGCCAGGTCAAATCTGATGTCGCTGAAACACAGATGGCGGTCTCGTGACAGGATCGGTGATATATCGATAGGGTGAAACGTCAGCTCTCCGTGCATATGGATGCCGTTTACGTATCGATGGATACGATCTGGTTTATATGAAAAATAACCGTCATATTTGGCAACAAAAGTTCTCTGTGACACAACAGGGTCGAACCTCAATATTGCTAAGGTTGAGAGAAATTTATAGGAATTTCGTGAAAATCTCTCTCGTTCATGAAAGCCTTTCGCGCGTTGAATACGGGCTAAATTGAACCGTTCAGATTGATATACGGATATTATTTTTTTTTTTAGAGCCGTGACATTTATCACGTTTTTTTTTCTGCGAACGCAAAGCGCACTAAAACGTAAACGCAGTTCTCGCCATTTTTATTTGTCTTTCCGCATAAATGTAGTAACGAATGTGATATTTCCCGTGAGCTAATTTTAATTAAAGCGCATCGTTTTTTCGAGAAGAGGCTCCGCCACAGCTTCGAATTTCTGCGAGTTCGCTAGCGCGGGAGGACTTTTTCTATTTGACAATGAGGTAATGTACGATAACGTCTATAAATGCGCGGAGTTTACACGCGCATATACGTATAATGACATATTATAGTCCCTGATGCTGTTTCCGCGCAGTAATAATAAAATTAACGCGACGCGGTTAAGGGGAGAAGGAGGAAAAACATGGGGGAATTTTAGAATTTTCACGATTACTTGTTATCGGGCTCACACGTATACGTCGGACGTACGTAGGATCCGCGTACAGCTTCCAAGTGTCACGATCGCGCGACAGATCGATCGCGATGAGGAGCGGCAAAAAGAATCTTCTTTGTCCTTCGACCAATCTTTTCTACATCTCGTAAATTTCTCTGTCCCGCGTGCCGAATTAACGCGTCCGCGCTTTGCTCCGTTTCGCTCTCTACACTGTGAGAAAAGTGTGTAAAATTACATTCATAACAAGCGCAGCGATTACACTGTTAATAACGGAAATATATAAATTTACGTACTTTCGCGAAAACTTTTTTTACTCTTTGTTGTGTAACTGCTTGTTTATACTTGATGGAAATTTACAAAAAAAATTATCAATTTTACACAATTAAACGCAAGCAGTTTACTTATTACGCAAGGTAATAATTTTACCTACAAGGTGTAAATTTACTGACGTATGTAAATATACACCTTTAATAGATGGTCTCAATATTGCCCATATAATAATTGTAATTTTACATATAACTTTTTTACAGTGTATTCTAAGGATAACCGTCCTGAGGAATTATGTTTCACCGCAAAGAAAAACACTGTACTGTACTTTGCTGCGATCACGTTTGATATCCTTTGCTCTGTCAACACGGGGAGAATGTTCTTTTAAAATTTATCCTGAAAATAATGTAATCGTGGGACAACGCGGTATTTCGAAGAATTTGATTAGTAAAATGTATGCCAAGTACAATTACTAGTGAAATGTATGGGCAATTTTCAGAAGACTCACAAAGTTGTTGGAAATGCCATATTGTCCCACGATTACATGATTTTCAGGGTAAATTTTGAAAGAAAATTCCCTCCGTGCACGAATTCACGGGGCCGATGCGGGTTTGATCGGTCCGCTGATCGCACACAATCGGACGATCGACTTATCGCTGCGGAAGGAAAACGAGATCGGGGCTGACCGTTCGCGTCGCACAATCAGTCGGCAAACGTAGCCGCCGATCTTTCGCGATGTGTATCGCATAAGCTAGAAGTTAATCGATAATCGGTTTTTCGGGCGTATACGCGTCGGGCTTCTTTTTTTTTCTAGATAAGATCGGCGTTCGGGGATCGCTACGTTCGGAGACGGCGCAGCCGATTACGCCGATTACGCCGATAGGCTTGTCAAAAGTAGTCTTTTAAAGCAGCTCACGGCCGGAAGTACCTCGGCCATAGCTCTCGAATCACCGATCGACTCGGCGACACGGAGAGACACAATAATTCGCGTACACGTTGCGTAAAAATCTTTTCTATAAAGATTTTTCCCTTTTTTACCTATTAATTACCGATTTCTAGGGCCACTTGGTAGACGTTACATAGCGTACGAGGATCTCCTTTCGCTAAGCCTGTCTCTCGCGACGAGCCTTCGCTCCCGTCTTCTTTTTTGCATTACGCTTGGAGATCACTTGGCCTAAACGCGAGAGATCCATTTAATAAGCGAGCTAATAAATAGCTTAGTACTCGCGCGCTCGTGGCTTTACCCGGGTAGTCTCGAAGAGATCCCACGAGGGCGAATCGAGTGCGACGGGTGTTCGCGCAATATAGTGGACGTTAGTAACTCGAGGATAAACGGAGAGATAAAAAGGAGAGAAAGAGAAATATTTGCGCTGGTCGCGTTTTTATTTCTTACGACACTATGATACCACCGAGAATTCGATACGATCGCGTCGACTTGGCGTCGCGCGTGACGATTAACGACGAACGCTCCCTTTGTCGGGGTCGCACCGTACTTAAAATTTAAGGTCCCCGAGGCACGAGACGCGTGTGCCAAACCAAGTGCGTGCGTGCACGGCACGCGCTCCAGTTCCCTTTGACAATCATAGTGCCGATGCGAGTACGATCGCTTTTTACGAGAGAGAAGAAGAGGGCATTTCCTGCGTCGCGGCGACGCGCGGCGTGGCTCGTTACACGAGCGACAAGCTCCACTCGGCAGTGCAATGAGCGGATTGTTCTCCGATCGTTGATTCATAGTATAACTAGTCCACTCCGTCGTTTGTTTGGTTTTGCGTCGATACCTTCTGCGCATCCGCCATTATCTTGGTCGAGCCAATAAGAGAAAAGTTGTACGTGTAGCTTTGATAAGTACGCACCACGGTCTTACAGTAGACTACGTTTCCACCGAGGGTCAGAGTCGGGCTAGAGTCGGGTCAGAATCGGGTTGGGGTTTGGTGTTTTGGTGTTTCCACCGCAAGAGCGCTCACCCCAACCCGATTCTGACCCGACTCTGGCCCGACTCTGACCCTCGGTGGAAACGTAGTCATACAGGTCTGGAAACGACGGTGGTTGTATCTCTCAACATTCTTGTTTTTACTTCGATTCTCAGCCGCAAGGTACGCTGTGGTAAATGGATGTCATGTGCGAGACAATGACAGAAGTAGTGTACATCTTTTTTTCTTGCACGTACCCAAGGAGAACAAAAAGTCAGCAGGATGATGTCAATTTGATGTCATATTGACCAAATTGACATCATCCCGACTTTTTGTTCTCCTTGGGTACTCCTCAACAGCAGCAACGCACAGTGACGATAGCGCGAACGAAAACCTAACTCGCTAACGGTGACATCCGACAGTTCGATGTCGTTTCCAGACCTGTGTATACGACCGTGGTACGTACGCACATATCGTTGGATTGCTGAGCCAAGCAATAACGGAATACCACGTGATCGGGACGAAAGAATCAAAGGGCCGACAGAGAGTGGACCTGCTAGTTATACTATGGGTGTGTTCCCATTCCCTCCCACGATCAGTTCTACTGACAGTGCTCCTAACAGTCTCGGGCATTCGGTATCAAAGAAAAGGTGTGACTGGTGCGCATTTCGAAAAGAATAACTGCTATGTTATTACGAAGGATACTGAAGTTTCATTTGGAAACGACTTTCTCAGAAGCTGAATTCAGTAATAGCGTCCAGTACCGGCGGTAGCACCGAGAGGAAGTGGGAACACACCCTATGGTTGATCGCTCGGGATCGCCAGGCAGAAATGACTCTCATGCTTCTCACATTGCTTCTTACTTCGTAGCTTCGACATCGCGCCGGCAGCCGCGCGCGTCCGTCGACGGAAAAATGTGTTCGCAATAAAAAAAAACGATGAGGCACCGATAAAACGTACAAAATTTTAACTTGCAAACTTCGTCTACAGTTACAAGTACCACCGGTACTGCAAACAAGAGATTCGCGATTGTAAAGGCCTGCGTCCGCGATGCTAGAACTTGGACCGAGAGTTTATGGAACAGCTGCTAGTTGATTGGCTACACATTTCTCGAAACTAGAACGTGGGCCAAGTTCTAGCATCGCGGACGCAGGCCTTAAGAGAGGCACACAGCTCAATATTATCGAATTTCGAGAACGAGATTTCAACGGACTGTCTACTTCGAGCGGATCTTTTCCAAATGTTTCTATGTAACTTCGCGTAGAGTATGATGCCTAAGTTCAGAATGCGAGAAGCATTCGTGTAATTCTTTTCCATACAATGAGAAGCAAGGAACCTGCCTTTACTTTTTATCCCTCTATCACGGCGAAACCCTTCGGTTATTAAATATAACACTGGAAATGCGCCAGACAGGTCTCGAAACGATCATTTTTCTAATTTTTCTCTGTTTACCACGAGCGATTAATCTCTATGAAACAATGCATATTAAATGAAGAGAAACGATTTTGCGGTTTGAACATACAACTTTTAAATATGCACGCGGGTGAATCCGCGGTCTTCCCCCTTTTCGGTAAAATTGGGCGACGTGCGTAACGTTAAATAATAAGCGGGATAAAAAGCTGTGTGTGCAAGTTTCATCTTGTCGCTCTCGTACGCGAGGCACGCGTGTTTTATTCAAGGAAAAGAGTCACGCGAGTGGTGTATTCCGGGCACGCTGACGAGATTTTACGCCAGGGATTGTAGCAGTAATATAATAATCTCGACCACGAGGTGTGTATCATAGCAAAGCGTTGTGAGATGTTACAATGGATGAGATATTATAAAAAAAAAGAAGTTTATGTTTCTATATTGTAATAACGTTTATGTATAACGAGATTATTATAATGCAAAAATATACATACTAGTTGTCCGGTTTGCGAGCGTCTCTTTACTGACCTCTCACCGTGTCGCGCGTGCCGCCTCCTGAAAGTCAGTCTGAGAGGAGAGGAATCGCGAGGACCGCCGCGGAGACGGCGAGGGAGAAAGAGAGGGCTGACACTCGACGCAGCTGCTCGGATCAAAACGGTGAGTTTCTTTATTTGTCAACGTGTATTGCAAACTTCTACATTGTAGAAATCTGTGGGGTCGAGGTGAAGTTCGAACGGCGTTTGAACCCTGCTTAAAAGGGACGTGTAGAGAGTCGTGCAATAGCGCGAACATACTTGACACTCGAGTTAAGGTGTAGCTTATATCAAATACAACGTGCGCCGCGCGGCGCAACGTGGCCGGCGACGATAAGGGGCGAGCCGTGGGCCTCGAACTGTCCGCGAATTATTTCTGTAAACCAAACGCGATGTCCATTCGCGCCAGCTTTCGACTGTTTGCTAGTCAAACAAACGGTTCTATGTCCTTCGGTCCACGTAACAGGTGGATCGCGTCGGCAGGGAGCAAGGCTAAACCTTTCCCTTTCCTCCCTTCCCGCGAGCGGGGGTGCCGTTAGGCCGATTACGAGAGCAATTCGGGATTTTCCACGTCTGCCAGACGTCCGCCTGTTGTCGACGACCATTTACGCGCGGGCGCACGCAACACCCGGGTACTCCGGGCAGGCTTATAACGCGACGCCGGGGACGCGCGTGTTTTCTTTAACTCTAATAACGGGCCAGTTATATTCTACGCCGCAGCAATTTTTATAACGTACGTATTGTCTCTCACCCTGCCTGAAAGGGAAATATAAGTTAGTAGTCATGCCACAGTGCTCGTCTAAATCCTCCTTGCATCAGGGCCATAGGCGTGCGCGCGCACCTGCTGCGAGATACGCGCGGCTCACACGCGCTATTCTTCAATAACGTTTAATCGTAAGCGTTATATCATGTGTCGTATTGCACCCTGCCTTAAAGGGATAAAAAAGATGTTCCTAATCGCCCTGGTGTCCCACCAAACAGAGTTTTGCTGATTCCTTCCTCTTTCTTTTGCTTTTTTAGAGATTCTTTATGCACTTGCTTCGTTATTTCATTTTTTTTACTGTATCTTCATTATTCCTCTTGCTCTCTACCGGAGATTCTTCAAGTGCAAAACTGTCCAAGGGTATCTTATCACGGAAGATACACCCAGAGAAAAGTTTGAAATCAAACAAATTTGTTTGAATTTCCAACTTGATAGACTTTTATTTAATTTTAAAGAAACGATTTCTTTACCTCAACCAACATTTTATTCGATTGGGACTGGAATTTCTAAAGCTGCGACAGCGCGCACGTCAACAAAGCAAAAGCTTTCAATTTCAATGCAGGAAGCTTGCGGCAAGCTTTTGATTGGTCGACCCGCATTGCTGCACGCGTTGCCGCAGCTCAACGCGTCTATGGAATTTTCCCTAGTAGCACAGTGCATTGGCTAAACATTGGTCCAATGTTGGTTATATTAGAAATGCACAGGGTTGGGAAAGTTACTTTGTAAAAGTATGTAGTTACAGTTACAATTTTTTCGCTAGTTACCAATTCTGAAAAGTAACGCGTTACAGTTACTCAAAAAGTAACGAATCGTTACTTTACAGTCACTTTCTTGCAATAAAAATAAAAATATCAAATCTGCATTTGAATTGTAAAGTGTCGATAAAGGCGTTTATGCGCAAATGCAAGGCCTAATGCGATCTGTGGAAGTTAAAAAATATATATAAAGTATTAATGTAACTATTAAATTAGTTACTAGTTAACGAAAAAATGTAACTGAGTTAAGTTGCTGTAAGCAGTTACAGATGTGGAGAAAGTAACGAAGTTACAGTTAGAGTTACCAAAAAAAAAGTAACTGTAACTGTAACTTCGTTACAGATAACGAATTACTTCCCAACCCTGGAAATACATTAGTCGATATTGTTTAACGTAAAGCCAATATTGGCCATGGAATAAATGTAAATATTGCACGATAATAATTATATAATATTAGAATTATATTGGAAATGCATTGGCCAATATTTAACAATGTAATAAGAATACTGGTCTAATACTGATATAATATTAAACCAATGTTGCTCAATAGACATATTGGCTAATCAAGAGAAGGCGTCCATCTTACAATATTGGACCAATATTGGGAATACTATATTTACATTATTTCCCAATATTGCACCAATATATTGTGCTACTACCCTAGTAGCACAGTGCATTGGCTAAACGTTGGCCCAACACAACCAAATATTGGGCCAATGTTTAACCAATGCTTGTTCAATGCACTGTGCTACTAGGGTAGGGTTAGCTTTAGAGAATTCATATCTATTTCTTCAAATCTAGCAAATGTTTCAGTAGAAGTAAATAAAAATTTAGTAGATTCGAAGAAACAACGTATCTTGATTTCAACGTATCTCACTTGTTTAATCTAAATCTTTTTTCTGGGTGCATGCATCATGCGGGAATTAAATGCGACTCTCCCCGCGCAAAATTCTCCGCGAAAACCTTTTGTCTGTTCGGTGCTCGGCCAGGGCGCACAAATAAATACTTTACGATTAATTAAAAACTATCAGTCTCACAAGCTTCAGTTTAACCCTGCCTAAAAGGGAATAAGAAGGTGGTCATGCAAGATTGCTCTTACCGTATTGGGGGGCCCTAGCTAACGCACGTTGGATGCACGGTGGCTTCCGAAGAAGCGGTTCCTCCGAAACGATGCTTCGGAAACCACCGGACACACTGTAAATTCGCATTATTCTCGGCCAGAGATTTCTCCGCCGTATCGAGACTTTTGCCGATCGAGTTGACGTTGCGAGGCTACAGCAAAGTCGCCTCCGCGCAATCGCTACAAAAGCAGAAAGCGCCTCGGCGAACACGGCCGATCCGGCTCTTGAAGAAAACATTTGTTTTGACACATAAAAAAATGTGCTGCGATAACAGACAACTGTTGCCGGTTCCGCATCTGTTTTACACGCTAAAATCCTCCGTTCGACCTGCGCGCATTGTGCATAAAATGAAAGGCTCGGCCTCCTTCACGTGTCGCTAATGATAACAAAGAATAATGGCGCAAAAGCCACGTCATTATTTCCCTATCAGATTCTACGTAATTCGACACCACATTTTTGAATTAAAAGGTGTTTGAGCTGTGATGTTTGAATTGAGATATTCGCGAATTAACGAAACGTTTGCACAAGTGACGAGCACCTATTTGCGCGTTTAAAATGTAAATGTAATTCAAACAAATGTGCGTCATTATCGCGAGCCGGAGCTTCCTCTCTAATTATAACACCGCGCGACGATATCTCGATCGGGAAAATGCTCTTTCGGCGATCTCATTACTTCAATCGAAGCGCCTTCTTCAATGGAATATAAGAGCCCTTTTTCTTAGATACTAAAATCTTACGCACTAGCTTTTCTCTGAGGAATCTCTCCTCCGTATTCTATCGATTAAACTGTGATTCAAATTCCATTCAGTTTCGTAGTTGCGATAAAGTGTACAAGATTAAAAAAAAAAGAAAAGATTTCAGTAACAATAGATTCGAATCAAAATGCAAAGGAGCTCTGCAACTAGCAATATAGAGATTCTTAAAATTTCCTTTCGATATTTCTTTTTGTACGACAAACTCCGCAAGTCCGTTGACCTATGACAGGGAATGCTCTTCGGTTCTTTCGAGTGATTTGCAAACAGCAATGGTTCGCTGGCATGTAAATTTTGCAAACAGCAATATTAATTTCATTCATATCTTATCGAAGCGACAATCCAATAATATGTGCCCAAATATTGCAATCGATCTTACCGATGATCGTTGGGAATATCTCCCGTTCTTTTACGATCGATTCGAACGTAACCGGGAGGGCGCGATCAGCCTCCTCGACATTCCCTGTTGAACGTCCCATAATTCGGGAAATGCGCGTCGCTTATTTCTACCGTTTAAAAAATGATGGTGCGTGAATTCTTCGGTAAGCATCGCGCCTATCGACCTTAAGCAATCGTACTTATTCGGTATCTGTCTTGCATCTGCTTTTCGCCTTTCGCGCAGCTTTCCTTCTTCTTCTCGTTGTTCTTACAGTTAAGCTCCTCCTGAATTTCCAGCAGTGACTTGCCCTTGGTCTCGGGAACCATTAGCACGATGAAGACTACGCCGAGGTAGCAGCTGATGGCGAACCAGGCGAAGGCCGTGTACACGCCCCAGTTGTCGGACATGACTTGATACATCTTGGAGACGATGAAGGCCAGCAAGGAGCCAATCGTATTGGCCAACGACACGGCGGCGCCCTTGACGTTCGTCGGGAACAGCTCGCCCAGCATCATGTAGGGCAGCGGATTCAGGCCTAGAGCGATGATAAGCTCGTAGAATATCACGGAGGAGTGCAGCAGCCAGCCGTATCCGGTCGTGTCCACCCCGAATTGGAATTTCACGAGGTAAAAGAGCCCGGCGATGGTCAGCGCGATTCCAGCTAGAAGAGTGGTGGTGATGAGCAACGGTCGTCTACCGAGTTTGTCGACTAGAACCACCGCGCCGAGGCCGGCGATCAGTTGCAGCATGCTCAACAGGATGACGGAGTTACTGGCGGGTAGACCCGCGTCGCCCTCCTCGAGGATCTCCTGCGTGTACGATTCGATCGCGCAAATACCGCTGAACTGAAGGATGAGCTGCAGGCCGATGCTGACGATGACGGCGCGTCGGTTGCCGGGCGTGCCGAACAGATCCCAGAATCGGCCGCGATCGCTAAGATCGCGGACGACTATCTTCTGCATTTGCTCTATGTCCGTCTCCAGCTGTTCCTTGGACACGCAGCGCTTCAGACGCTTTATGCTCGACAGCGCGTTTTCTTGCCGATTCTTCATCAGTAAGTAATACGGCGACTCGGGCATCCAGGGGAAGCTCATGAAAAATACCAGCGGGATCAGCAGGCAGGTGTAACCGAGCAGATGATAGGAGACAAACGGGCCGATCGCGTGAGCGTACAGCTCGCCGAAGGTCACCATCAGCTTGATGAAGGAGCCGAGGGTACCCCTGATCTCCTTGTCGGCAATCTCGCCGATGTACATCGGGCAGATGACGTACACTATGCCCTGGCCTATACCACCGAGACCGCGAGCGGCGTAGAGAACATAGGGGTTCCACGCAGTAATGATCAGGATGTACGAGATGGTTAGAGGTACGCCGCCTACCAGCAGGCTCGTCTTGCGACCCAGTCGGTCTACGATGAAAGCCGCCACGATGCATCCGGGAATGGTGCCCAAAAGGTAGAAAGAAGCGATCCAGGAAGCGTCGTCAGACGTTATCGGGACATGGGAATCGGGGGATTTCAGTGTTGGTAAAGTGGGTGACGTCCAGCCTATGTGAGACCCGGTAGCTGCCAGCGATAGAGTAGCTATGGTAAAATCGAACGGAAGGGAAGAATTATAACTTACGTTGCTCTTCCGCTGATTTTCTTTTACGTAGGAGTTATAAGGAAAAATAAATCTCTAAGAAGATCTATAGATCCAAGAGAAGAGTAACTACATAATTTTCTCTAAATAATGTGAAGTAGGAATAAATTACTATTTGCGTTATAAAAGAAATTGCATCATGCCGTGAAACTTGGCGAATTTGGCGAATGCTTCGGACCTTGAATACTCTTGACTCCGAAATCTTCAAGTTCCGTGGTTACAATTTCATGATAATCAAACTGATGACTATCTACAGCCATTTACAGCCGATACGAAGAATGAAAATAACATACTCGTGATAATTGTTCGAGATTTGCTCTAAATTAATTATGTATATCCTAAATTTTAATCAGCGTAGTGCTTTACAGTTTTAAATTATTGACAAAATATTCTGTTTGTATTTTAAATCATTTATACCCATTTCCATTTGAAACATAAAAAATACTTTATATTTATTTACCCGTAATCGCTGCTAGATATTGAGGCCACCGTTTAACACGGGATTGCTCCATCTTTTATTTCTTCTTATCGTGGGACTAAAGAGAAAACCACAACTTTTTATTACATTATTATAAAAATATAGTCTCAACTTTTAAACGCAATTTTTAACACGTGTTATAAACCAGTTGATGAAGCAATGTGCAAGTTTCCAATTTGCACCTTTCAGTTTATTTCTATTATATTTCTTTATATTTCTTATCTTAACCAAACAATTAATCTTTATATATTAATATAAACTGAATTTATAATCTAATCATATTGAAAAACTTTTAAAATGCATGTCCATAATGGCAAGAAAATGTTAAGAACCAAAGCTGTATGGTTTTTAGTGATACATTTCATGGCAATATCCATATAATCTTGAACAGCTTCATCAAGGTAAGTAAGATCATTTAAAATTTTTTTAACTTTTCCTTTCCATTTCACATTCTTGTAGCGTAACTCAAGAGCTTTCGAAAACCCCGTAAGTATGTTTCCGTTAAGTACTTTCGATTGTGTTGCTTGAAAGTTAGAGTATCGCCGGCATCAGCATTAACGAAGATATACCATGTGAAGAGTGCACGGTCAGTACAGAAAATATGTTAAAGATAAAAGATGTAGGATTTTAAGTGACCCATTACATAGCAATTCTTAGGTCTATCGTGTGAACAATGCACAGTCTGTATGCTGTGTTTTTACACACACGGATATAACAGAGATGTAAAACGGACCTTGTAGTGATCTTCTTATCTTGGATAATGCTGATACCGGTGATACTGTAACTTTCAAGGCCTCATAACTCGGAAAGGATACAACGAAAGCATACGTTACTATAGTGTTTTAAAAATCTCTTGAGTTGAGCTATAAGAATATGTAATGAAAAGGGGGGGGCTGCATTTAATAATTTCAAGGTGATCTTTACGTGACTTTGACAAAGCTGTTCAAGATCATACCGTTATTGCTATTTAATGCGTCACTTAAAACCCTACAACTTTCATCCGTAACATTTTTTTTCTATCTTGTACATTTTCGAAGTTATTCAAAGAAAATGACATTTTTATATGCATGTGTGTGTATACAGGGTGAATCGTTAAGGCTGTACCAACCTTTTACCATGAGGATGATGGATTATCGACCGAAACTATAGCCGATCCGGGAAGAAATGGAAAAATCTCGTTATATACATTTCAATCATGTAAAACTTATTTGTATCCTGAGAGATATAATTAGATATTACATGATTGAGACATGTATGACGAGATTTTCCATGTTTTCCAGAGTTGCTACAGTTGCAATCGGTAGTCCATTCCTCATGGTAAAAGGTTAGGACAGCCTTAATGATTCACCCTGTATAAATTGAATACCAACCACATTTTCATAGCACTCTGTCGGTTCAAAGGTTTATTCCGATATCTTAATATTTGGAGAAGTTAGAACGCGAACAGTGCATATGTACATACACACACACGCGCGCAGACATTTTCTTAAAAATGCGGTTTTCTAAACATTCTAAACACATAGGCAATGAAAACTCGAATACAATTTTTTTCACGAAAACAAGGCTTCCTCTGTGAGGAAGCAAAAACATGTGTACTCCCTTTCTCTAAAATTCTTCGCGTCGGTACAGTAAGTTGCGAATTTACGAAACGGGCGACGTTACGAACGATGATACGCGAGGCGACGGGATGGCGACTCCCTGTGTTCGCGTAGATGCGTATTGGCGCGACCGAACTGAACAACAGTCGCGCGGCATCTGAACAAAAGAGTGCTAGCATTCTTAAACAATGGTGTGCAAATATAAAATAACGTTACGAAGAAAGGCGAAGAAAGACATAAAATCTTGCAATGAGAAAAGACTCTAGAAGCCTTAACTTAAATAGTGGAAACAACAATTGTTTCCCTATTTTATACAAAGAATTCCCAGTAAAATAAATTAATATTTTGCCAGTATTAGCAGTATAATTTACAAGCTTCACAATTCACAATAAATATAATTTACACGCTTGGTTCAAGTTGTAGCATCCTGGACGCAGGCCGTAAGGTCTATCGTGACTTGTAAAGCGTGTAAATTATATCTATTGTGAATTGTGGACCAAGTTCTGGCATCGCGGACACAGGCCTTTACGAATCAAGGGCACGGTCTCACTTCTATCCCTTAAACTGTTTATACGGATATTAAATGTATCTTAAATTTATGAAATTTTAATCGATGGTGTGCTTACAGAGATAGCGATGAAACGCGCTAATGCTACCAGGGAAGACGACGAATCTCCACGAGCCCAACGACACCCGGATTTTAATGCATTTCAGATGGAATAACAACGCATTCATGGCGCCGTAGATTATATATGTCACTTTATCAGCGCTTTCCTTATCAGCGATTCGTGTCAAATCTGTCCCCACTCGCCCCACTTGTGAATGTTTGCTTATTACTAGTAAGTTAGTTCGGACGAAGGACAGGTAGAATAAACATCCAATTATTTTTCTGTGCACGTGCTATCCGCGAATTATTACGCGTGCTTGATTATTCGAGCTGGCGACAAAAGTCTTAAGGTAACCCAATTAGCATGAAGACATAATAAAGGCACGATGTAAATCCTTCGAGTTGTGCAATGCACGTTCCGAAGAAACAATATCTCGCGGAGTTATTGTATCGCTCGGTACGAAATGGTACCGCGTCTCTCGCGGTATCTATTACATTATATGATAATGGAATTGATAATGTAACGATAGATGCACGATAATCAAATATTTTATTCTGCGTTGTTGCGAGATTTTCGAAAAAATAAAGAAGGCCGCATTAGTCACCCGTGCTGGTAATTTCTATTTGACATTTAAATGCCAATTCAATTAATTCGAACGTCGCAATATTTGTATGAGAAACATACTGCGGCATTCTGTGTTATTTAACTGCGCTAAGTATCGATCGAATGAGATTTCATAGAAAATTGCGAAAACGCGATCGTCACATATTCGTGTTCCCGCTGTACAAATAATAGGATTAATATCTTATATTAATTAAAGGGAAAATCCTATACACGAAGTTATTTATAAATAATGCCTTTTTGTTGCTCGCTGATTAACGGCAGGTAACGAACGTGCAATAACATTACAAGCTTATTGGTATAAATAATTAATCACTTTACAGCATCGCAACTGTGATATAATAGTCTCCCTTGGAAACAACGCTCTCTCTCTCTCTGGGACTGTCATGAATAATGGACGATAACAGTGGACAACGAGAGCGTAAAAAAGCGAAATCATTATTTTTTGTAACGCGCGTTTTTTTAACTGTTGTTTACATTCTACTCGCGCGAAGGGGAAATAAATCCTCTCTGCATAGCATGTGCCGTGAATTATAATAAGAGGTAAAGCACGCTATTGCGCATTAAGGGATTGACGAAATAGTGTGCGCGCAATCGTCATTTTTATTTCGCTATTTAGCCCGAATAACGTATGCAGCTAATCGTATCAAGGTCTTTCTAATAATTTAATAAAATTTTAAGACGTCTTATTGTTGGATGGTTTTCACAATGTCTCCTGGATTCCCAGTCTTTTCTTTCGATTATCTTTTTTACACTTTTTGCCTTCCTGCTTTCTTCTTCCTAAATAAATCGTTGCACAATCTACTTTGTGATCTACTTCGTGATTCATCATCAGAGAATATCGTATAGAGGAGTTTTTTAGGTCACAGAGCTCCAATTATATTTTGCATTAATTTATCCATTTTTATTAATAAAATTCTTTCAATATTTTTATCTGTTTTAGTTGCCTCCCCGAAAGGCTGTTGAAAGCCTCTGGGCTTTCGAGATATTTGCATGTATTGACAATTTTTTACGACTCTTTTCTCTTTAACTGATAAATAGCCCCTCCTTACCCCATACGAAGAGATAACGAAATGTTTGTGTGAATTATAGCAACGCGTTTCGCGAGAATGATCGCTGTTTGTAAACTCTGTTCCTGAACAGAATCTCTTCTCTTGGCCACCTCTAAATCAAACGTACAAGGTAATCGTTATCGCGCCTTGAAACCTCAATAATTCCTGTCGCAAATATGCGCTTTACACGTATGCAAACGTGGTGCATTGCAAGTTTTTTGTACGTGAAAACTCACGAATCCTTATCAGCCGCAATTAGCGGAAAGTACATCACGCGTTTTCGCAATATTGTTAGATTACAGAGTCTTGTAAATGTTTATCAACATCCTGGAGTTTTCCACAATGCAAAATAATCACTTTTAATTTGACTAATTAAATTAGATACAAAATAGATTCGCAGAGACAGAGAGAGAAAGTGTGTGTGTGTTGTGTGTGTGTGAGAGAGAGAGAGAGAGAGAGAGAGAGAGAGAGAGAGAGAGAGAGAGAGAGAGAGAGAGAGAGTTTCAGTAATATAAAAATGATATAAAATTAAGTAATATAAAAATGAATGTAAAATAGGATGAATTATAATTATTATAATTTACCATAAAAAACCACTGTTATTTTCATGTTTCTGTCCCGCTGTCAATGCTCGCACTATCAATACTTGCGTTACTGTGCAGTAACGATATTTATACCGCACCGCTAAATAACGGCCTATTCGTACGCATCTGTTTTGCCACTTGCGTAGAGCCCACTTTGTCAACTATATGTATATTCTATATGCTATATATTATACTATAGTAATTAATGACGGTAACGATGACGCGAATAATTAATGATTTCACAAAGCGTCGATTGTCCTGCATTCTTTCGGGCATATGTCGCTGATATGACATTACCATATGTGTGGAAACGACGTCAGACAAGCGTATTTAAAACGGATTCTGTTTACGATTTTCGTAGAAAGATATGTACGACGGCCAATTTCAAAGGAAGCACTTCAAATTATTGTATAAGTATAACATACTATAAGTATAACTATACTTATAATAATAATAGAAAAATTATTTCTAAATGTCCATATAATAATTATAATTATATTTCCAAGTGTTTAACATTTATAATATTCATTTATATAAAGTAGGATTTTTTTGAGTTATTTGCGAGGGGGAAACCGCTGAGGGCATTGTGGTGTACAGATTTGCGGCATTACTGGGCATTACTAGGCATTTTTTAGGCATTAGTTTGGGCATTAGGCATTGCTGGGACATTATAAAGATATAATAAGATAAAGTAATGCTCACTGGCCATTACTGGGCATTGGTGTACAAGATTTTGGTCAGCGGTTTCCCCCTCGGTTATTTGTCCATACAGTTTAGCTCAACGAAATCTACAGCATCCCAAATAGCACGAGAGATCGCTACGAAGTGAAAAAAGGTTCATTCACTTTTTAATATTCTTTATAAATTAACGTGATCTGCCCAAAATGATCTGAAAAGATTGCCTTTTCGATAGTTTAAAAAGGATTTCATACAAGTATATGTATCCTTTGACTTCTTATCCAATAGTACATTCAAGTTGTTCCAAATGGAAAGAATTTCCTTTCGTACCCGCAAAAGCGCTCGGAAATGGTGGCACAAAAGCGAATATATTTTTTTAATCTTAAGAATGTACTAGAACGGAAACGCGACGGGGAAGGAATTAATTTCATAATTCGGGAATTCAGAAAGAATTCTTGCCTTAGCTGAAAACTGCATGTGGCAACTAAACTTCAGTTGTAAAATATGGATAGCTAATATTTAGCCGTGACAGCTAAAGATTTTGCCGCTTGCTTATTGTATTAGGTGCGACAGCAAACCGTTCGCTGCGGTTTACAAATTTATGTGTTCACGGCAGCAAAGTATTTTTAGCAAACCGTGATTAGCTATGGAAACTTGTTTTTTAGCGTTAGTTAATTTGTTCATCTTCAAGGGACTAACCAACCATACCACTCGCCTGAGGGCAATCGGTAAATAACGGAAGAATCATTCGTCGATAACTCAACGTAATTTCGTTGGAGGCGCAAAATTTTGATAACGTCTCGTTTGAAAAAAAAAATTGCTGTCGTTCGCGCGACACGTACGTGCCCCAGTTCTTGTCTCGAGTGAGATACACGGGCCGAGGCTGGACATTTTTCGAGCAGTATAGAAAATATGGCAATACGCAGATAGTCGCGTGGCAGAGAATTGCAGCTAAATACGGAAAGTGTTTATACGTTATCTGGGCCAAGCGTTCGCGTCGTTAACGTTTAATCCGCGCGAGCTTGCGACGTGACATATTTACGACGCCGACGTTCGTCAACGCGTCGTAACGAACTAAACGCGAATATTTTATCACGCAGGTGCCCGTGTCTCCGTGACGAAACGCAAAAACAAGCTCCGGGAATACGCTTCCCCGCGTGCTCTCCTCGCGTTTTCTCGCGGCGAAGAAATGAGCGGTGAAGAAATAACGAATGCCAACGACCGATAAAGTCCAACAACGTTGCCGCCTATAATTCGGCCCGAGAGAGCGAAATCGAATCTTCCTCGAGGAGGAACGTGAGCCCAGATTTCAGGATAAATTAGAAATCGGGTTACGCTACCGCACGAGTTCTCGCGCGTCTCGTCGGCGTCGGCGTCTCGATCTCGACGAACCACCGCCAACCATCTCGCCAACCGTTCCCACAAATAAACGCTATTACAGTGAACGGGAGCAAAGGGATTCGCGCGCGGGATGTGGGTCCCGGTCGCCCGCGATCCGATCCCGGCCAAGATTCCGCGGTTCCGCGCGCGGACTCGCCTCGCCGGCGTTGTTCGAGTTTCGCGCGCGACACTCGCGATCTATCGAGCGCCCTCGACCGCCGCCGCCGCCATCGCGCTCGGCACTTCGGCAAACTTCGGCTCGGGCAGTCGCGAGTCGTCTGCCGTGGCGTGTCGTCGCGCGCCGTCAGGACCTCTGCCAGGGATAAAAGGCGCCCCGCGTAGGATTCGTGCGGGCACGCGGAGAGCCGCGAGCCCCTCGTGCGAGAAGCCCAGGCCCAGGACGACCCGCCGCGCCCCAGGACGACCGTCTCGCGCCGCGAATCGCCGCGACCGCGGGCCGACTTGCGGACCCGCAGGAGATCCGACAGCGCGGAGGGGGCGACGGGCGCGGAGTCGAAGATGTGCGGCGGCTTTACGTGCTCGAAAAACGCGCTGACAGCACTCAACATCCTCTACATCGTGAGTGGACGCCCCCGCGGCTCCTCGGGCCCTTCCCCGAGGCACGATTCCTTCCCCCTCGTCCTCCCCGCCCCCTCCCGCCCCCCGATCTTTATCGGGGAAAGGCTCTTATCAGTCGGAGCTTCCCCTCTCTCTCTCTCGCTCCCGTCCGCCTGACCGCGCGCGCTGCGCCCCGTCCCGTCGATGTTTACGCGCGGCACCCGCTGGCGTTGCATAATTACACGCCAGCCGATTTGACGTACGCGCTGGCTGATCAGGGACGCCTCCTTCTTCTCCTCCTCCCGCGCCGTCTTCTCCGGGATCGCGAAGTGCCGGATCTACTTAATCTTGCACGCGTCTCCGTCGTCCTACAGGGATAATCGCGAGGAATTACAGCGAATCTCGCCGCGCGGAACCGCGGCGGTTCCTTCTCGATTGATTAATTGCCACGAACGACAGCTGCAGGCTGACAATTGGTGCTCGGATTTGCGCGCCAGCTCCGGATTATCCGTCGCGAACGGGGAGCCAGTCCTGTAGCGCGCCGTCTAATCGCCGTCTCTTCTCTTGCAGGTCGTTGCCTTTATATTGATAGGAGTCGCCGTGTATGGAAGGGCGTCCGCCTTAGTCACAAATCTCCCTATCATAGGCGGAATTCTAGCATGCGGGGTGATCCTGTTTCTCATCTCCATACTGGGCCTGATTGGCGCCGTTAAGCACCATCAGGTCCTGCTGTTCTTCGTATCCTTTTCTCGGCCTTTGCGGTAAACAGCTTTGGCGAGGGGGAAACCGCCCGGGTTGGGAAAATTACTTCATAAAAGTGTCTAGTTACGGTTACAGTTGTTTCGCAAGAAAATGCAACTAGTCACGGTCACGAGTTACCAATTCTGAAAAGTAACGCGTTAGTCCCAGTCTGGGACTTACAGTTACGCAAAAAGTGACGAATCGTTACTCTGCAGTTACCTTCTTGCAGTGAAAATAAAAATATCAAGCCTACGTTTGATATGTTCAAGTGTCGATAATAGCGTTTATGTGCAAACGCAAGACCTAATGCAATCTGTAGAGGTTTAAAAAATATATGCGCACGCGGTTCTAGCTACGCTTATACTTGGCGCAAGACACTACCGTATCTCGTAATACAACTATTAAATTAGTTACTAGTTGTCGAAAAATTGTAACTGAGTTAAGTTACAGTTACAGATGGAGGGAAAGTAACCAAGTTAAGTTAGAGTTACAAAAAAAAAAACTAACTGTAACTTCGTTACAAGTAACGAGTTACTTCCCAACTCTGGGAATCGCTGACCAAAGTCTTGTACACCAATGCCCACTAATGCCCCGTGGGCATTACTTTATCTTATTTTATCTTATTTATCTTGTTTTACCTTATTTCATCTTAAAGAATTATTCAACGCCAGTGCATGATTAACCAATGTAGAAAATTGCTAGACGACACTTGGCTGGCAAATTCTAATTAAAGAAATTTATTGCGATAAAATATTACCTCAGCCAGGGTTTGGACCTGGACCTACGCCCTGGAGACGCCCGCCTAGAGTGTAGGGAGGTTCGGATACTGGCTGAGGTAATATTTTTCGCAATAAATTGCTTTAATTAGAATTTGCCAGCCAAGCGTCGTTTAGCAATTTTCTACCTTGGTTATTTTATCTTTATAATACCTCAGCAAGGCCTAATGCCCCAAAAATGCCTAGCAATGCCCAGTAATGTCGCAAATCTGTACACCACAACGGCCTAAGCGGTTTCCCCCTCGAGCTTTGGTCTTTCTGTTCGGTTCGCCTGTTGCGATTATCGGTTATCCAACACGCGTGATGAGAGCGTTTATCGAGTATATTTTCTCTCGCTTGAAATTTCTGATCGTCACATTTGTAATATCGTCAATGTCCAACATGTCTCGCTTCACGCTCTTCATTAAATCTTTTAACAAGGTTCTCGATGAAAGAAGTGGACGTACGCTTCCTTAATTGCGTCTTACAGTACATGCTTATCTTATTCCTCTTGTTCCTGATTCAATTCAGCATCGCCTGCGCCTGCCTTGCCGTCAATACGAAGCAGCAGGAGCAACTCGCGGAGCAGGTAACTTCTACTTTAGTTCAGAAGGAACTGCGTATTGTTTACGGGATGGATGAGACTCGATAATTGTGTCTGTGTAGGGCTGGAGACGCGTTGAACTTGACCTGAGGAAAAAGGTTCAGACCACCTTTAACTGTTGCGGATTTAACAGCACCACCGACGAATCGGGTGTACCCTGCGACGATGTCAATGTAAGTCGCGACGAAACCCGCCGTCCGGCCGGTCGAATAATCGGGAGTCTTTTTGCAGAAGATCTGCTGTCCATCCATCGACGTCAATCAAATGTCTTGTCCACCTTGTCCGACATGTATGCATAAACTGCAGTCCACCATTGACTACGCGTTCAAATTGTGCGGCAGTATAGGATTATTCTTTAGCTTTACGGAGGTAAGGTTCCCGAAACTACCGTTGCATTCTTCATGTCCACATAAATAGAAATCGCACAATTTGTACAGGATATAATGTTGATTATTGCACAGAATACGCAAGTTAGTTTGATATTAATATCCAAGAGTTCTCTGTAACTAAAAGTGCACGCCATATCCATATCGCGATCGCCGGTTACAATGAGAGTACCGTCATTTTGCTAATATGCTAACATGTGTGCCCGATTACAGTTTGTTGGTGTATGGTTGACCGTGCGGTACAGGAACCAGAAAGATCCACGAGCTAATCCTAGTGCTTTCCTCTAGTCTAACACCATCGCCATGTCCTCTGTCACTTCATATGATCCTCCTAACAGATGGTGGGTGGCCTCGTATGTTGGTTGTGGTCTTTTGATCTTTTTTTATCCAGCGTTATGTAGCATTATCGATTCAGGAGCTCGATTCTTGAATTCATTCCAAGGAGAGACATACGCGAGAATTCGGCTCACGCAAACAAGTTGCAAGTTGATTGGTTATTCGCGTAGCTTTTAGCCGGCCAACTTGCCACTGTTCTGTAAGAGCAGAATTTTCGCACACGCGAATTTCTCTTGAGTGAGTTCAAGAATCGCGCTCCTCATGTTCATTCGCTAATGTTCATTCATAATTGTTCTGAAAGTAACGTGCGACGCACAGCATGCAGCGATTCGCACGACAGCAATGTCCATAACTTTTTGCATTTTTCCACTCCGTTATTCTTTTCTTTTCTCCGGACCTCATGAATTTAAATATTTTCAGGTGATTGCAGCTTTCTTGGCAAGGCGTTACCGTAATCAATTAGATCCACAGGAAACAGCTGCAAGAGCCATATTTCCGCAGAATAATTATTTATACTGATTCGGCGATACATTCGAGAAAAATCAATAATCTCTTCTTTTATACGTATTTTGACGACACTTTTGTCGAAGAGGACAAGGGTCTGAAGTTAATTTTACTTTCGATTGCCAGGAATATATTGTCGCGCAACGTGTTTTCCAAGGGCTATGATTTAATCGTGTTCTCTTTTCTCTGTAATTCTTTTACTTATACACGTATAACGTGTTCAGTAGAGACGGAAGTTAATGTATTTTCCAACTGGGCAATCGTAGGTTTTAGAATGAGTTAGACGACGAACTGAAATGTGTGCTCTAGTCATACGCTCTGAACACTCATAACAAGCCTCAATGCGCCTTGTAGTCTAGTGACAGAAAACATCACAATGTAAGTATAAATTTCTATTAAATTTTGTTGCATTTTCTCCAAAAATCCGACAATGTTGAACGTTGGCGATGAAGAAATTCAGTGCATCGTATCGTTTGGTTTCGCAATTTAAATGAACCGCAACACTCGAACCATTCTAAGAAACTAAGGAACGAGAAAAAGAATGGTGCGAGGTAATGTGCAGATTAATTTTGTTAAATATTTTTTCATGAGAGAATGTAGAACTTTATTATGGTTGAAGCACAGATACCCATAATCTTGTCGATCATACTTTTCTCCCCTACATGAATGAATCATGTTAGATATATATATACATAATTGCATTCTATACATATATTACGATATCTAGAAATTTATATCTTCCCGAGTAAACATTCTGTCATATCATTTTTGAGTACTTTTAGATAAACTATAATAGTTTTACGTCTGCGAAGAGATTGTTTTTATATTTTTAAGTATTCTACAGCGTATGATGTACAACTTGTGTTATATTAAGGAACCGTAATCAAAATCGGAAGAAATTGTAATACTCTTACAAGTCATATCTAATTTGGATGAAACTTGGCTTACTTCTGGCAGCTCTCGTATGCTTACGGTCACTGCAAGTATTATCCAACGTGTTAAGAAATTACACTTCAACTGTATAACTATCGAATTGTTTATCGTACGGGGCAATTCTCTGTAATCAACGGTAATGTAAGGTCTATCAGCATTTCAAGTTTCATCCTCTAAAAATATCCAATATGAGTGCTTTGCTTGAAATTAAATTCTACGCTAATTGTGCGCTCTAAGGAAATTTACGCATAATAAAAAATGTCCTAAACAGCCTGGTGGGAAGTTCCTCAAGAACTTTAAATAATCGTCCCGTTTTCCTGCGTAATGCCGGCTTTTTAATGGACCCCCGCGGGCTTTTACGATCTTAAAAGAGGGAGGGATTATTCAAATTATGCTTTTGAATAACATTGGCCGTCACGGACTCATAGCGGAGGTTGCATTTTACTCGCGAGGGAAGACTGTTTATTACGTAAACGACGTCTCGCGGGGTAACATCCTTCCAGGTTCTTTTCGGACGATCTGCGATAGTGTAAGGAAAACTACGAGAGACACGTGTTGTGAATTTAATGTGCATGGAAGTAATTATTATTATTACGCGATGTACGTGCATCGTGCTATTCTACATATTGGAGACCCTAGCGTATTTTCTATCCGCGTCCCATCGCGCGAGACGTAAATGGGACGAATCTATCCGTAGCCACCGTCTTCGTGAGTCTCCCTGCCCGGAAAAAAAAAACAGCTGTCGAGATACCAGTTGCATCTTCGCTGTTCAATAATGAATCGAACCCACCGTGCTGTCGCGTTCAAATTTTACGAATACATTTCAACGAGAACCGAACGCAACTCGTGGAATTCGTTATTGAACGACAAGACCGTAGTTTGGCGTCGCACATTTGTGCATTTTTTTCTTTTGCTATATTCGGAAAACGTCGCTTTTACTCGTACGCTTTGATGAATTACCCAATGCCGTTCTAACGGGGTCGCGGGCGCAGCCACGTCTCACGATTAGGTAGAAGGTACATTCCAATTTTTATGCTCTTTCCTCCGGCTTTCAGTAGAAAACACGCGCGTACGTCTTGCGTGCGCGCGGAATAGAGGGCTCGTGAATTATACACGGTGTAGCGTAACGTCCTACGTACGTATTTTTACCTAAACGCAAGAGACACGTAATTTCGTAACCGATCTACTCGGAATTAGGCTTAAACTACTGTACGTTCCGAGAGCCGAGGACGATCGGGAGATGCGCACGGGAGTGATTCGCACGCACGTTTGCGTAACTGCGAGACGGGATGACGTAGAGTAGACGACGACAGGCTCGATTGCACTGTCCGTGAGATTATGCGCGCGGGTGTATGTGGGTGTTCGACAATCCTAGGTGACGGAAAGCATATATATCGTACACGTTATGTAGAAACTCGTACTCGAAATACCCCCCCCCCCCCTCACACCGAGTGTCCTGATTCTGCAGGCCCGTTCTTTGTAACCGCGTCACGTCACACTTTTCCGAAGTTAAAATAAAAGAAAGTAAAAAAAAATATATATACACATAATCGCGCGTTCGGTTGGCGAAATATAGGGTTTGTTTTCTGTTCCTGCACTGGTGAACTAGTGCAGTAAGCTAGAATGAGAAAAAATATGCTTGTCTTACTCCAATTTATTGCACTAGTTCACTAGTGTAGGAACAGAAAACAAGCCTATGGAGAGCGCGGAGAACTCGACTACAGGAAGCGACCGTCGTGTGTTCTCCTCTCCAGAGAATTCGAGGTATCGCCCGATTCCAAGATCCGGAACGAATCGGATCTCGGGAGATGCGATTTGATTCCGGTACTCGCGCATTCCAGCGGGG